ATTTGATTCATTTACGGGATAACTTATGACTCCAATTAAATATACATATTTATAAAAGCAATGGTTGCTGAATATTGTATAGTTTTATCAATTATTGCATCATGTAGTAAAAAAGTCTAAACGATTTTAAAACTTCCAAGAACTTCCACAAGGCGGTCCAGTGCAGATATAATATACCTATATACATTTAAACAATTTGATTCTCATTTTTCTATTAAAATTGCTAATCAAATAATTATTGTATTATGTTTTGCATTATTGTTGTATTAACATGAATCTTGTATTAACGCGGAAGTAAGTATTTATGGAAAAAAAATGTACCCAAGTCGATGGAGCAGCAGCGTCATTTAAGTGATGACGTCTTTATTAAACTTTCCGTTTTCATTTTTACGTTTCTGTTATTATTTACAACAAATTCTGTTCCCGTATGTTTTGTTTTCCATGAGCTTTTAAAAAGTATTTAATCTGTTTTAGTTAAAGTCTCATTTTTTAAACCTAAGTCCAATTTAAGCCATTGCAAAAGATAAACGATGTGCGTAATTTTATAAAAGCTAATAATTTGAAGTAGGTTTCTGAAAAACGAATCGTGCGTATAATCTAACCTTTTTGTTGCGTTAAACATGAATCAGGAATATAAAAGCGTAGAGGAGAAAAAGATGACGAGACATTTGGCGGCGAGCCAGAGGTACCCACCTTCCGAATTATGTTGCCAAGGAAATTTGTTTAGGGAAAAATGGATGCTTAACGACGGGTAAACGCAACATGTTTGCCGAATATGTCGCTAGATGCGAAGAAAATTGGTGTAGAGTACACGTCCTAGCTATTTTATTTCATTAGACAACATCACGCTTACATCGATCCCAAGGTAGATATAAGCAATTTATGAAGAGGAAGCATTGAAGGTAAAATAGCTAGAGTTAAGATTAACATAGAATATAGAATTCGTGTCTAATAATTAAGAAGATGGTCAACGTTTTTTTTTAAATAGTTTATTGACTTTAATTTAAGTTGCTACCTTTATTTTAACAATTGGAACAAAGAACGAACGAAATGGATAAGATAGAAATAAGTACTTTTAACTTGTTCTATTTTTTTATATTAGACTATTATAAAATTAACACATCATGATTAAATAAAGATCAATTTTCTTTAAAGAATAATGTTTGGACATAATATAACGCTATTACTACTTTATTGGTACTAAAACTACCCTGGAACGCCAATTTAAAAGCTCTCTCAGTGAACTGATCATCCATCACATTCCAAGACATCTATCGCCAAGATTCCACTGATGTGCGTGCTCATAAATTGTAATAACATATAACTTTCTAATCGAAAGCACAATGTAATAATATTTGACGTAAACTAAAATAAATAAGGTTTTGGCTACGTTGCTGACATAATTTTTGGTACCGTAGTGTATCGCTTCCAATTAATTAATATACGGAAATATTTTTATATTTCTTAGCCCAGTATATTCGATTACAAAAGTGTGTTTCCATAATAGTATTGTGCAGTCTCGTATAAATCTTAAAAACAAATAATAGTATTAAATAGTTTCCAAAACATCCACTTCTATAAATTATCAATTACTATTTTCTCTTTTAACTAACCTATCATAAAAATGACAACGAAACTCTTTTGCGTTCTTTGAAGTTATGAAAATATGGATATATTCGATTAACTTTTTTTTTACAAACTCTCGTATGGTTTTTATACGTGAACTGTCCGCCCACTTATTCCCGTAACCAATAACTCAATTTTTTGGCGCGTGAGATTGATGGCCGTTCCGTTTGTTGTGTAAACATGATCTATTACACGAGAGTATAACATAAAAGCTTTCGAATACATAAATGAAGCTCCCAAATTAAGATGACTTTCAAATAAAATTCATTTTCAAGGACGCGGTCAAGATCTGCTCATTTTAGACTTGCCAACTTTTATTAGAAGAAATAGAGTTTAACTGATTTCAAAGGAGGTAAATAAAGAGTACGAAATATAAAACACAGAATAATTTATTTAACATTTTTAAAAGGTAATTTTGATGTTACGATAATAGGTATGCATCCTACATGCGTGACTGACACTAGTTTTAGATACTTTGGCACTAGTGGGTACACGTAGTGTGAAAAAATAATCTTAGCATTTTCTTTAATAGATTACAGAGTATGCCAACTTGATATTGAGGACTGACACTTTTAGAGTAAGCTCAGTAACCCTGAGGAGCGTAATTGCTAAAAATCCGCACTAAGCCCGCATAGTGGGTTATGGCCCATTGATCTTATGCGATTCGACTCCATTCATAGGAAAAAAAAAAGAATTCTACCAAAATACTTCCCACGCAGACGAAGTCGCGGGAACAGCTAGTTAAGTAATAAAATTACAAGCTTTTCTTTTAAAATACGTGTTTAACATATTTCAACAATTTACCTGACAGACAAACCAACAAATATTAGTCGTCATCCCTATTACAAGATATGTACAACGTGACATGCTGTTGACTGTACAAAGAGATTACTTCCAAAAAGGTTTTAATTAAAAATGAGAAAACTACATCATACTTATTGTCAGTCAAAACGTGAGTCACCAAGTTTTCTACAAGATGATGATATTATAAAAAAACTTAGAGAATTATACGCTAATCAAGCACAACTATAATAACATCAGCAACTTTAATTAAGTTAAAACAAACCTAGATTTAGATCTTATTATTCATAAATAATGGTTTAGAGGAAACCATAAAAACATGCTTTCCACTAGAGGCTTTGCCCGCGTGGTCCTGTTTTATATATATAAACATTCTAGATATTTACTAAATCATCTTATTATGTCGGGTGTGTAATTTAAAATATTTTAGTGTAGACATTGGGAAGCGACTTTATTTTATAATGTACCTATACCTACGATAGATAAAACATACACAGCAGCACATCAAGTTACCACAAATTACCATTCTGAACATTTTATAGAATAATTATAAGATATTAATATTCTAAAATCTAGAGAAAAATGAGAATTTTATATAAAGGTTTTATTACCTGACTATTGGTTATACAATATAAATACTAATTATGAACAAAGCGTTACATACTTTGGTGATGTAATTTTTTATTTTAATGATGACAAAGCCTCCAAGAGAATTTTGATATCAGACTCCATTCCCTTAATATAAAGTTCAAACTTTATAAGTACAGTATTATGTTTTGTCCAATTATGAGCATTCATAAAAAAATTGCTGGTTCACAAAACGCAAGGAAAATGATTTGAAAGTCTACAAACACATCGCTCCAGGCTGTAAAAGGAACCGAGAAAATGTTTTCGCCATTTTTTCCGCGCCATATTTTTTATCACTTTGTATAGAATATGCAAAGAGAATTCGTGTTTCATAATACTTATCAGAAACGATGAAACATGGTTCCAAAAAACTTGTAATATATTAAAAAAATATATACCGAAGATGATTAAAAATTCATCACTTATTCAATATCAGATTCTCTATGAAATCAGATTATTATCTATTATAAAGCGGTCTCAAAATGTAAGAGAAAACTGCTTTTTTATTTTTTTAATCTCGTGACCATAATTTACGTGGCTTTGCAAAATAAATCACTTTACCGAGGACCCTTTGTCCTTTCACAGAACCTTTTTTTATTAGTTATTAGAAGGTACGTGCTATTCGCTTATTTAATAGATAGTATACAGATTCTTAAAATACAGACGCGTAGAGAAGTTGAAGTTATATTCGTTATCTAATCTAGTCATTATTATACGGGCGTTCTATGATTCAAACAGGTCTCAAAAATGTGGTTCCATTCTCATTAATCAACTCGTAATACTCCTATACATTTTTTAATGGATTTCGCTTATTGAAAATGGAAAAAATTACGGTTCTGATCAAAAATCGAAACAAAATAGGTTCTACTCAAAATACCGTTTCATTTTGCAAACAGATTTCGGTAAGAAAGAGGTTAGTTTCGAAAGAGGTGACGTGCGAAGCTCCGCCCTTATTTTCGCTTGCTATTGTACACAAAACAATTCGGCTTCATTTTCGGAAAAAACTGGTTAATTAATTTATTATTGAACTGGTATTATTCGAACGTGTCCGAAACCCACAATTTAAATACAATTGATAATACTAATGTTAATAATGTTACTGAAACCGACGGCTTGTGCTCTTTAAAACATGTATGCAGCAGATGTGACGCTTTTAATGTAACATTGACTGTGACCAAAAATTGTGGTCTTCCACAATAAGTAAGATGACGCTACCAACCAATTTTGACGTAAATAACAGGATTTTTCATTTTTACTAATATATATTTGATTTAAAATTGACTCATTTCGTTATTTTCGTATTTTTCTCAGCAAATACTTTCATTTAATAACTGTGTTTAATAACCATATTATGACATTGCATAAGACAACTGAGCCGCCATCTTGAACAGTCCGCCATATTAGATTCAAAATGAAACAAGATCTATTATATATGAAACGTTTAGATTTCTTATTCTTGTTTAACATTTTCATAACGTTATACTTGAAATAGGTGATTCATTTTAAACATTTCTATACATATTACTGCTATCATATATCCTTTTTTGCCTTCTGATGACAATTGATAAAAAATTAATCAGATATCTTGTTTCTCAATGCTTCAAACTTGCTATCATATGAGTTTCTGAAGCAATGCCTAATATAACAGAAGTAACACTTACTCCGGTGGTTTGCACTACCAAATCTAATAAATCCTATTGATAATGTACGAAATATCTATAAAATAGTAGTTGATGGTCGTTGCAAGATTTGTTGATGGTCGTGCACGTACATTTATATGCAGAAGGAGCACAAATGTCTTTCAGTTATTAACTGAATTTGAAAATTTTATTCTATCGAAGTTTTCAAAAAAACATATGTGTTCACCATCAGATCATCTGCTGAACACTGAATTTGCGTTAAATTTAATATCCTTAGTTACCTTTTCTAACCCGTTAACGTCTCACCTATTATACATGAGCACATCTGGTTTCCAAAGCTTGTTCGGTGTTATTCTGAGGTCCTTCACTCCACCATACTCGCTATCGTTCCATCTCAGGTTGTAGTCGTTCCATTCCTGTCATACACATGTGATTAGTCAAGGGGAGCAATAAACATAATAATCTGAGCTTTTAAGGCCGTTTTCTGACAAGCAATAAAATATCACACAATGGAAGTTATACTGCGTCACAGAAATGCGATTATTGAAAGACAAAATGTTTTGTGCGTTCGAGGATTTTGATAATAGTGAAGTAGTTGTGAGCCTGCTGGCCTGAATTACAGGCAGTTAAAATGCTTATCTTGGGCAGCAGTCTCCCACAAACATATTGTTAAAACAAATTAGAAAAAATCTGTGAACGTATATTAATTTTGTGGAAGAAGTGAAATAAAAATAAAAAAAAATTTTTGTGATATTTATGTGGAAATGAAGAGAGGAAAACAATTAACAGAGATTTTTTTTTGGTTTTTTTAATTGAATAAAAGCAAAGTAACTATTTCAAGTAAAGAACGTTCGGATATAAAAAGAATATATTTTGCTTTTGATTTTCATATAATTATTAAGTTCAAACATGAACTGTTAACGCCATGAGGACCAAAAGTCAAAAAATATTTCATAAAGGTTTCGTATTTGGTATCAAAGGAATTTTTTTTTTTCTATATAACTGATAAACATATTTTTGTTTTATTTATAAAATAATAAAATTGTAAAATTTTACAAAACCACTGTCTGCTGAAATTTATTTTACTATTATATATAAGAACGGTTTAATTTGTCGCTGTCGCATCTGCGTGACATTATCCCATAACCAAATGTAATATCTTTTGTCATAATTCCTTGTGGTCCTAATAACACTTTAGGGTTAATGAGAGTCATGAATTAAGTAATGGGGTAAGGGAGACTGTTATTACATTAAACAACATAAGTGTCTGATAAGAAAATAATAACGTCAGTCGTATTACTAAATAATAATTAAAGATTTAATTAAGGACACATTTTAAACGTTATGTATTTCAACAAAAAACAAAAAAAAAAAAAACCGTCAAATCAAATCTTTTTAGACATAACAACATTCTCATATTTTATTACAAATAGAAAACGGCCTTCTATATATCAGTATATGAAATAGAAACTATAATAGAGACTTAACAAAATTATAAAGCGTAAAATCAATAACGCCGCTGACAACGTAATTAAACACTCATCCGTTCGTCATTGTGAACCTTAAGCTAGCAGTGATAAGATTCATAACGCAGCCAAATGTCACACTGGCTATGTGAGTAAATAGGGTTTTAGATAACAGAAACAAAGACAAGTTTCTAAGTTTGGACCCTCCCCTAATATTAGAGAAGTTGTGAAACTAAGGACCAATATCTCGTGTTTGTGAAGATGTTATAAGGCTTGGAACATATTGTACACATTGTGATGTAATATATCAAGCAAATGGACTAAGATAGTATCAATCCAAGATGATTGAACTTTTTGATGTTAAAAAATTTCATAGTAAAAGTTAAGGATATAACAAAATGTTTATATCAAATTGTACTCTAATGGGCAAAATATTGTAGAAATACAAAACAAAAATGACTAAACACTTATTTCTTTACATGCCTGTGACTCTTTATAGCAAGAACTGAAACCTTTTGCAACACAAATGAGACCTGGTACGGCGTTACGACGTTTTTGCATCATTTTGTATTATATTTACAATAGCCTAATTATTTTAAGTTACTCTCGTACATTCAAGTAATCAAAGTTTGTAAATCATATAATTTTCACTCATTATATTTTATTTTTATGTCTACAGTATGCACTAAGCCTTTGTGAGCCAGTGTAACACGAAGAGTGTGAGGACTAGTTAAATCTGTCCATCGCTTTCTTTCATGAAGGATGTTTGTCGACATATAATGCTTATATCCGCATACTGTGAAAATCTGAATTGAATTTCAAATGTTATTTGCCAACAGAGCTACTTAATTACATTGCAATATTATTTTAATATTTATAAAAAGCAAACCTTACTGACTTATATATGAACGCACAGCCGAAACTATTGAACATAGAATCTTGAAAATTTGTACAAGGGTTCTTTTCATAGTGGAAATGAACTAAGAAAGATTTTTTAGAAATTCAACCCCTAAGGGGATGAAATGCCTATTATGATACATAAATTCCACCGTTATTTACCTTTTCACTATTGTGGTGTGGTTCAAATGAAAGAAATGAGCTTTTTGTACTTGTCAATGTGTGCATCGATTTCGGTTCGCAAACTTACGATTTCGAACCCACCACGATGGGTTCAGTAAAACAAACTTTGTTATACTTTAGTTATGCACTTTTCAATAATTTACTGTAAATATTTTATTGTACTTTACTATAAATGTTGGCATAAATTATATTATAACTATTGCTCTTTATAATCCTTCACGAAAGATTAGCGTAGAAAATTAAATTATTCATTTGAATTCAAACTAGGATTCGAACCCAGATCTTTATTTACCTATATTTCAATTGGAAATTTAAGCCTTCCAAATATGTTCAACAGATGATCACAAAAACCTTTACGGATATTATATTTTTAATCATTGCATAACTCATTCTGTACTAGTGCATAGTAAAATAACAGACAGTATAACAAATTAATTTACGGGTTTGTATAAATAACTCTTAGTACCTATTGTAAATGGTATTATAATAACTGTGGAATTATTTTACAATCAAAAATACATCAGATTATCAAACATCTTCACTTACATTTAAACTGAGTGAATGAATTGAGGTTTGTGAATCCAAAAATTTATCCAATTGTAATCTAAAATTCCGTTGTTCCCCACCGCAGCATGTTAGGTTATTACAAAATATCAATATACGCAATAGATATTGGCCTTCAATTAATTCAGACCTAAATACGAGAAATGCCACAGTTATATATTATATCACTTGCTGACTGTACTTAGTAAATAATTAATCTTAATAAGAACTGAATATAATCGATATCATTTTATCCGGAGCAGTGTTATACGGATCCTTCACTTATCCGGATTACGCAAACTTAATCTCATTTATTTATGCATTATTTTTTACCGGAATGTTATCAAAAATGACGTAATTACTATTAAAATATTTAAACATATGGCCTATTGATATTATTACGAAGATTATATATGTACAAATACTGTCCGTTCATTTTACTGTGACACTTTAATCCGTTAAACAAAGCCCTTGTGTTCAACTGTTTAATACAATATTGTAATTACACACGACTCTCGAATTATCTGGAAGTGAGAATAAATTACGATTGTCATATAAATATAAAAGCTATCACATGACAAACAAGGGTAATATCGTCACAGAGTAATTACTCAGCTAAAAACAGATAGTAAAATAGACAAATTACAAAATAAAACTTTCGAAATAGTATGAATGGTAAATGAACTAGTTATAAAGCGAGCATGCAAATTGGAACAATTTCAGGGTTCTGCTTGGATGCTATTATGTAATTTCATAAAGTAAGATTCATATTTACCCTGAAAATGTCCCTAAAAAGTTTTTACTGCAGGACATCAGGTTATTACTTTTGTAGTGTTATGACTAAAATTTCTGTAATCAACTTCGAAGCTAAAAATAAACAGATTACAGCCTATAATCGATTAAAAAAATATGGCCTCGTGTAATAACCTGGCGCACTGATCAATACCTACGTGCATTCAAGAAAATATGGAAAGTTTAAAGACTTATCATAAATGGATATTATACAATATACAGATGAAAACAAAACGTATGAACTCAGCAAAGCTTCATCATCACCGCAGGGATTTCATAATGAAAAATCACTCCTTTACTATGGGCATTCTTTATTTCTTTCTTTCATTAACAAGACCAGGATATATCTCGGGGTACTACCATTTCCGTAACTAAGCTGCCGTATTGGTAAATGCTAATGTAATTGTTATAGTTTAATTCGCTTAACAAACATACCTTTAGTGCTGGAAAGAAAAATTAGTCAACATTCATTAAATCGTTCTAGAGTTTCCTAAACAAGACAATGAGAAAACAACGTATTTACAGTTTTAACAGCCAACATGAAAAGTATGTGCATTAAGCCTCTTTTGATTTAATTCTCTTTTTTAATTAAAAAATAAACAAAAGAAAGATAATCTATACGATGAATAACCTCCAAACATAAAATTAAAATAACATTAATTTTTACGATGATTCTTAATAAATGGAATGATGAAATCAAACTGTTTCTTTACATATCACGTGTAAAAATCCTAATCAATGTTTGGGATGCTTCCTGTTAAAAGTAAAACTTTACAAACAATATGGGGTGAAAGAAATAAAATAAGCATTTTTTACTGTCTCCTTTTTATATTATATTATAGGTGAATTAATTGGAACGTCTCAACGTGGTCAAATCCGCAGGCAAACTAAGCAAACCATGGCGGCGGGATCCCTAGAGCCTAAAGCCTTCCCAGAAGAAATACTTCACATTCCTTTGCCATGCAGAGTCAAAAAATTCTACATTCATTTTGTAGCCAAACAAAACAAAATTTTACAGCAGATTCCCAGAATGTGCATTATCAATGTACAGTGTACTTAACACTTTTCGAGCAACGTCAGTGCATACAATTCACATACAGTCACTGTCCAATATGGTACTTTTAATTGACCATACTATTTGTAAAGAAACCCTTCTATTAATAAAAAAACAATAATTATTCGCAACCGACCGCGCGGTAAATAGTTATTCGTGTTTAAATGTGTTTTGTTTATAGTATTTTGTGTCTATTAACGTCAACCATTAGTACATATTGTTAAACGCATTGCGGTGTACACGGCAGTTATAGTAACATCAATATTTACGCAAATTGTACTACTAAACGATATACATATTCTTTTGCAACAATGGTGATACCTGAAGTATAAAGTATGTATGTGTTGGGGTAAAGCAATATCCGTATAATATAACTACACTCGATTCAACTGAAGGAGACACTAATCTAACGGATGACAGATCATGATGGGATGCATGACAGGGTCTAGGCTATCTACGATACCGAGAGGCTGCGCATTGACATGTCAGGAAGATCTAAACAACTTTCATAACATGGCACAGAGGTCAAAAACTGCCGCATACTCCACAACGCTATGCAAATTTCAAAAATAACAGTCAGAGTAGAAAGTAACATAACCTCATAGACAAAGAAAAAAGATGGAAGGACACAAATGAAACGGAAAGTAAAACGAAGTAGAAAAATTAAACAAAACATCAGAAGTTTTATTAAGTGTTAATTTATGTTCGTCATTTTAAACACACTTACCAATGACAGCCATATATTGGTTATAAGTAGCTGATTCTTCTCGTCCTATTGGGTTAGACGATGTCAACAAAAACAGAAAGAAAGGGCGCAGTCAGTATTCGTCTAGCACGTGATGGACACACATGACGGGGCGGAGCGGCGCGCGCGCTGCATGCGCGGTAGCGGCGCGCCGCCCACACTATGTTATGCGATGTACGACAAGTTAACACCGACTCTCCATGCGACAGATCTGCCGCGGCGGCATGACGCGCACGACGCACCGCGCCCGCCTCCGTGCCAGTGCTCACGCAGCGCACACGCAGCGAGGGGCTTATTAAACTTTACACGATCACACGCTTTGCTTTACTCGTTGAAATGTGTAAAAGCGAAAACAAAATAGCAGCAAGCCTTTCGCTGAATGACCGCAGCGTCATAGTGCGTATAACTGTGCTCGGTGTTACATTGAGGGTCTCGACCGTGCCAGCCGAGGCCCGAGCGCGGGGGCGGGGCGGCGATGGCGCCATGCCCGGCTCCTACCACTTACCAAATTGAGCCAGACGTTTGTGGTCAGGATTTGATTTTTCTCATCCTTATTTCGATAAATGTATGCGCGGCGACGCAAGAAAAGGAACGAAAAAACATAATGAACATCAGTACGTGAAGTGATACTCGAGTTTCGTCCGAGCGGTGTGAGCCCTCGAGAGCCTTTGGTAATGCTACTGCCAAACTGATTTACCGCTTAAGCTTTGTCGGGATCGAACCCAACTTTGATTAAACGTTACATAAATGTTTTGTAGACCTTAAGGAAATTACAAAAAAGTTGTAAACCTTTTTAATTTTGTTAATGTATAGACTTCCAGTCCGCGAAGCCACAAAGTGACATTAATCTCTCGCCTGGATAATTTCACTGACGAAGCAATAATCCTTTTTATAGCGAAATGTCGTTAAGAGAAAGCAATTAAACAGATATTTGAGCGAACAGCAGAGCTTTTCCGATGACTAATGGATTTTATGTTTGTTGACAAGTTGTACTATTCTGTAGTTTATGCATGCCAAACGATTCCGATGCCATTGTTCAAATATATAGCCCGAAAAACAATTTTAACAAAGATACTTTTAATAAATTTCCAATGAACTGATCTCATACACTCGACTTAACATTATAAGAAATTGTAACAAAATTTGAACGATGAATCCTGTCGCTTCGACTAAATAATGATTCTCTCCTCTGACCAAAATTATCTAAGTTCGGTGTTTGCATTTGCAATCATATATTGATATAATTCTAAGTATTTTTTATTGAGCTTTACATAAAGTGTAACTCACAACGTGTTGTTAATTAAAAATGTATACGACAAATTTAAATAAGTCCCCCTATTTTCATTTCACTTACTAAATTCAACACTACCTTAACCTTCAAAACTTCTCTGTAATAATGTATAATTTGAAGGCATTTGATTTTTGATGGTAATATATAAACATACTATATTTGCAAATAGTATATATGTTTACCTACCCGCCTACCCCACTTCACGGCGTGAAGATATAGATAAATATGCATTTTCAATCAATAAAATGGTCAAAATATGCTGTTTCGTTTAAAAAAATATACCTCTAATATAACTACATTTTTTTATATTAAAGAGAGAAAAAGAAAGAAGGGATGACTGTTGAATTTTTAAGCATTTTTATTTAAGTTGATATCAGTATAGCATTAAGTATGTAAAATCGATCTAATATAATAACTTTCCCTATAATTATAAAAAAATAAAGAAAAAAATGCGTTCACTAAAAATAACAAATGAGTTTGTGGGAAATCAGCTCTCGGTAATAAAATAATGTTGTCATTTTTAAAGTTCCGTACCCATAGTGTAAAAACCCTATTACTGAGCCCCCGCTGTCCGTCTGTCTAATACCAGGCTGTATATCATGGACCGTGATAACTAGATAGTTGAAATTTTCACAGATGATATATTTATGTTACCGCCATAACAACAAATACTAAAAACAGAATAAAATAAACATTTAAGAGAGGCTCATACGATACACAAACTTATACACTGATAGTTTTAAAACACAATTTCACGTAGCAAAAATTATAGACATTTGTATTGAAAATAAATGGTAAAAAATTCAACTGGAGTCCTTGACAGATCGTGTGAGGATTTAAAAGCACTGAGACAGTAGATTTTTTCTGCCGCAAACAAGTATAAAGTAACAGAGAGACATCGAGACTGAGAGATTTGTTCAATGTCAAGGCAACAACCCGAAGATTAAAGATGTCAAACAGAAACGTATGGGGACGACATAGAACCGATGTCCTTAAGACACACAGTCGCATAAAATCAATCGATGAACAGGACAAACATCAATCCTGTACTCGTATAATTCCGACATGATGGTTGATATCTTTCACTTTACACTACGATTTGTGTGTCATTAAAATTTATCATTAACGTCACCAGCCTATTAATGAATTGCTAGGACACAGACCTTTCTTATAGATGGAATCGAATTGCGTTTTGCGTTCCATTGCGTTTTAACGTGCCTTATAATCAGTGGTCGGAATTAGGTAGAGTTATTCATGTACTTACACTGATTTCATACAGCGAAAGAATGAAGTGGATATGCTTTAAATCCCGAGATTAATTTTAAAGAGCAGAAAAAATCCCGTGATTTTTTAAATAAAAAGTTAATTACTTTTACACAATTTAAACTACTGCACGCACGTACTTTCTTTCATTGATGTTAGTTGCCAAACTAACATCAATGAAAGAAAGAAATAAAGAAAGAAGAAATAAAGAAATCCCGGGAAGGTCCACATTAATATCAACATTTCGATGCAAGTACATAAATAACTCTACCTAATTCCGACCTCTGCTTATAATGTTTTTAATCTTTTGGCACATCTTTTGGCCCTTGCGAAAGTTGCTTAATAACCGTGTCGCAAACCGAGCGTGCACACTGACCGAGTGTATACACTACTTCCGAGCCCCTTATCATTTCTCATCAAAATTAATTAATAATAATACGGACATGTGGAAAGAATGCTGGATGAAATAATTAAATTGACTTCATGCGTCGAGCATGTCAAAAAGTAGTCGTTAGTACAGAACGATACAGAATGTGTTAGCTTCAATGTGGTATATGATCATTAGTCATATCAGAAGGCCTACTTTCTTCATCTGAAAACAAAATTTAGTTATCCGAAAAAAATATGGAATTCACGTTTCGATTATTTTATGAACGAATTACATTGATTTATAAAATTTTGTGAAAATTATTATAATAATTTCATTTCATAACACGTTTCATCGGATATCGGCCACTAATCGAAAATCTTTATTCTTTTTAAGAGATATTAGAATAATTCACACCAGATTTAAAGATTTATGCTCAAAATAAATTCGAATCGCGCTCCATAAATTTACATGGTAACGGTACTGTTTACATTTATAACATTGAAATCTACGCAGTGTACTGTTTAGTCGGTCATTTGTTAATAATATATTATAATCAAGTACAAGTTCTGTTTTATTATGTCCTAAATTTATCGCTGTTTACCCAATGCTCTATGATACTCGTAACAAATCAAACTGATAGTTTGTAAACCTCAAAGCTTTTGAAATTATATTCATTCTGAAATGAGAATCGTGAATAAGATTTTGGCGGGTCATAGTAAAAATGTTTTTTTGAAATCTTAGAGGAATAGTCAAGTACCTATTCAGTATTTAAATATAATTATCCGTACGAATCAACATGACACATAATGCTTATTCAATTTATTGTCTTCGAACGAAAATTCGGATAAAATCGAATCTTTTTTATGATTTTTGTAGGACATATTTGTAGTTTATGTAGGACAGGTGGTACCACCTGACTAAGACTCCGTTGCATCTTAATTATTCAAAAATGCCGTGTCTTTGAAGTCATATTAGCAAATAGAAAAAAGACGTAATTTCGTTTTCGGAGAAATGGAATAGGCCTCCAGGTGTTAATTCGTACGAATAGTACACCTGTTGCCAGTGAGTATACCAAATATACGAAACCGATATATTTCTGTACAATACGTAACAAAACATATTCCCCTCTTATTACATAATAGAAGTCATCCCCATAAAATATCAATTTAAACAAAATTACAGCATGTTAATGAAACAATAGTTACCAACATGAATTAAATGACTTATATTAATTTGAGAAACAGTGGACCACTGTTCAAAAGCTGGTAGAGCTCGGAAAGTTGGAAGGTTGGAAGGACCCCAGGGCCGATCCACTACGTGGTAGACTGACCAAATTATTGCTATCTCAGAGTTCCCGGTTACGACCGCTTTGAGGAAATTCTAATAGAGCAACAGAAATAGGCACTGAAAAAAGCACTCTTCACTAAACTTAGGAGTCGCCCAAATACGTCGCCTTAATATTTAAGAATTGTCTAAGGTGAAAATGCATTTCACTAGGAACAGCATAAAGACATTAAGCAATGTCTAAAGTTATGACATGGGTTAAGCGGCGTCTTGTGCTAAGTATTTGCGTAATATAACAGGTCATAAACGTGTCAAGGGATAAAAGAGATTATTTGGAAATAACCTAGGAGAAGGATAAGGCGTTTCCTAGTTTAATTATGACTTGTTCTAGCTTAGTGAAAACGGGTGTAAGACTTTTAAAAAGCGGACCACCTTCAGTAATGAAGATAAAGACTTTAACGACGTTTGATGAATAAATAAGTACTGCAAACCTCAGTAATATTTAATTTGTAATATTATATCCGAATCTAAACGCCGAACGAATTATTACAAATAAGTATAATATCACCCCGTACTCTAACTGTTACAAAAAAAAACGGTAAAATATTCTCTAGAGGCGGAAAAATCCGCCATTTTAATAAATTCATAGATTCAACGTGCCGTCACGAGCGAGCTTCAATTACTGAAATGGATAATTCTACGAGTCGCTTTGACGAATGCGACCGCTTCACAGAGCTAACTCGGGCTTTTCAACAAATAATATTCACGTCCCTGTGACATAAAACATTATAATAAGATCATTATTGTATTTAAAAAGGTTTTTACTTTTATGAAAAAGAATACAGTTTTTTATAAACAGTTATTTGCAAAGTAGAGGTACTAGGTCAATTTAGACGGAAATTATTATAAGTTTAAATCATTGATTCTAGTTGTAAAATGAGACGAAATATCGTCATAGCATCGATAAGATGTCGTATCCTATAAACGTATAAATATATACGTATAAGTAACCGGTCCAAAAGTTTCGGAGCCTATTCAATGCAAACAAACAAGCAATGAAATCTTTAAATATGAGCATAGAATTATTGGAAAAAATTATGTCGAGCAAAAAACAAAAACTGCTTTTGTAAAACTATAATGAATATTTTTATAGTAAATTTATAGATCTATATAAATCGCTGGCGGAAAGCTAGTTTTATAGTACTTATTAACTTATTTGACTTTTATAGTAAATTTATAGATCTATATCAAGCCGCTGGCGGAAAGCTAGTATTTAACTTTTCTCGTGTTGGCTATTATATAAAAATATCATTATCACTAAAAAGCATGAAAAGCTATTGAA